GGCGTTTAGCCTGAGTCCCAGTTCGAGCGAGCATGTACCCATGATATCAGTTGCATGAATATCTGTATTGTCTGGCGATCTATGTCCGTTTATGTATGTCTAATCTCTACGTGGGAAGCAGAATTAAGAATATGGTAAAGGAAACGTAGAAGGGCTAACGTAAGTGTTGATTTCAGGTCAAAATGTAATTGAGAGCACCGTCCAGTCCAGTGAAAACTTGAATAAGGTCTCAAATCGCAAATGTGTTAGTACTCATTTGACTTCCACGTAAGACAGCAAAAATAAGAATGGAGATTTGAAGAGGGGCAGAGTTTGTACGTGCCAAGAGGCTCTGTTTAATCAAAACAGTGATTTGAGGTCTAATTCCTTTGGCGAGAATGCTATGGTCACGGGATTCCGTTAGCCTCCGCGAAAAACTCTGTATATGTATTTTACATATGTTTGTACATATAGCTGGGACCCCTTAAATATTTCTTGTGCCCCCAGACACAAAAAGGCAGACGGAAGGAATGGTTATGGGGGCACGCTTTGGTTTCCTCCTTTTGCTGGAGGACGTGGGTTTGAGACTACCTTCAGCCTTTTCACCTTCCTATTCCTATTCCTATTTTGAAGAATTAGTGTACTAGAGAGCTTTATTTATTATTTTTATATTTTGTTGAAGCCAGTTATAGTTTAGTATTACTTAATTAATTTTATTCTCTTCAAATTCCTCTCTTAAAATTAAAAAGCTTCAAATTGCAACTTATTGCTCCATAAATAATAAAATACAAATTATTTTGCCACCACCTTCTTCTTTTTTTTTTTTTTTTTTTTTTTTTAGAAGAAGAAGGCTGTGGCTTTATTTATTACTTTTATATTTTATTGAATTCAAATGTAGTTTAGTATCCATGCATAATAGTCAAGTTAATTAATTTTATTCTTTTTCAAATTTCTCCCTTAAAATTAAAAGCTTCAAATTACAACTTATCGATCCACAAATAATAAAATAAAGATCATTCTGCCACAACCTTCTTTAACAATCACTTTGACAAGGTAGCGGATATCCTTCAACTCCGATTCGCAATGGAAATTAAGAGTTTGAGACTCTTTTTTAGTTCTTTGACTATTAATATGCCCTTAATCTTGATTTCTTTTGTAAGTTTTTGTTAATTTTTGAAATCAAAAATTTCAAGTTTGAAACAGGTTTAAATCAAACACTTTTCCTTCCCATAGCACCCATTTTGCGAAAAAAATCTCTTTCTTTTGGTGCTTTCTCTTTCTTTAGAAATTCTTTTTGTTTATACTTGGATGATTAGTCATCACACTTGTTAAGATTTCAAAGAGTTGCACATCAAATTTTATTGCTAGTAATTAGTATACAATGGTGCCCCCGCTGTGCTAAATTCCTGGGTCGGCCTCTGCTTGTATAGTACATTGAGTGAGTGTGTCTGTGACCTGCTGCCGCAAGATCTGCTTACTACCTCCATCCTCTCTCCTTCTCTTCCATAGTGTAACTATTCAGGTTTTCAGTGACGAGGTTCTATTGCACTTTATTATGTATTTGACTTCTGCATTGCCTCGAAAATAAGAAAGAAAATATCTAATATATGACTCTTTTTCGAGTGCTTGCAGACTTGCAACTCATCACAAAGATCAGATAACATTGTGCAGTGGACAGAAAGCCTGAAGTGGTCATTGTCCTGCTTCCTCCTCATCTGAGTTACAGCGCAAAACTTAAAGTCGAAAACTCCCGTGTTCATTTACATTGTTTTTATGTTTTTTAAAAAAATATTGTATTTACTACTGCATCTGACTCTGACATGAATTGACAATCTTCTTGAAATTGCTGTTCACAGTGCAATCTTTTCCACGTTTTAGGACTGCCAAATTGGTTCACGAGTATATTTGATAACACAAAGGTTGGGAGATCCAAGAACTTAAAGAAAATAAGTTGATAAAATGCGGAAGCAGTAAAGAAATGCAAGCGGATTAAGAAAAACAAGAAAAATAAACTAGATATGTCGAAATTTAAGGAAAGGTCCAATATCGAGATTATGTTAATTTAGATTTTGACAAGATCATAATGACAATAAGTTGGTTATGAAACCAATTGCCTTCACTAGAGATAAGCTAATCAAGAACTAGATTCGAATCTTGATTTCTAGTTTGAATAACTTACGACAACAATTAGTAAAAGAAACTAGTCGTCTTCAAAGAATATCAAAAGAAACCAAAGATATCACAAGAAAGAAAATTATCTTACTACCTTAAGCTATGAACTAGTTAGGGTTGCAAGATAAATCTCAAAGTAAAGTTCACAAAGGTTCAAAAGAACTCACAATAATAATATTAATCTTTAATGTCCCTCCACAATGGAAGGCAAGCACCCCTTTATATAGTAGTAAAGAAGGAGCTAGTCAATACTTCAATAAATGATAATTATATCCCTAGAAGCACAGAAGACTACCCACACTAAGACCAACGTAGTCAACATACACATAAACCAATGCAAGTCAACATAGATTAAAACAACTATTAAATATATATTTTAGAAACTATTTTTGGGCTTATTTGGGCTGCTGAAAATTCCTCTCTTTTGGGGCATATTTGGGCCTCATTACATCTCCTCTTGGACTTTAATTTGGGCCTCCAAATAGTTGTAAGACTTGGCCCAAGGATCCTCCTTGTGCTGGAGCTCTTCTTCTATTATAAGACACTTTTTAATTACCAATTGAAGCCCATTAAGCTTGTCTTGAAATTTCTTTGTTTGAGACCTTGTCATGGGCCTTCTTGGAGCTTCCAAAGCTTCATCCTTCTCCTTTAATGATGTTGAGCTACCATGTATGTTATCATCCCCCTCTTCTTGAAGAGAATTCGTCCTCGAATTCGAGCCTACATCAAACAAGGAAAGATCAGAAACATTGAAGGTAGCACTAACTTGATATTCACTAGGAATGTCAAGTTTGTAGGTATTGTCTCCAATCCTTTCAAGGACTTCAAAAATGGCCCATCTCCTCTTGGATCTAATTTGGATCTTCGGTTGGCAGGAAATCTTTCCTTCCTAAAATGCACCCAAACTAAATCTCCAGGCTTAAAAATAACAGATTTTCACCCTTTATTTCTTCTTAAGGCAGTTTGTTCATTCTTCCGTTCAATTCCAAGCCTTGTATGTTCATGAATCTTCTTCATCATTTCGGCCTTATTCCTGCCATCAAGATTAACAATGTAACTAGTAGGCAAAGGCAACAAATCAAGGGGAGTGAGGGGATTAAATCCATAAACAACTTCAAAAGGAGACTTACCAGCAGAAGAGTTGATAGTTCTATTATAGGCAAACTCTACCATGGGCAAATGTTCTTCCCAAGAAGTTAATTTTCCTTTTAAAACAACTCTCAACATATTTCCTAAGCTCCTATTAACTACTTCAGTTTGCCCATCAGTTTGTGGGTGACAAGATGTAGAAAATAAAAATTTAGTTCCCAACTTCGCCTAAAGAACTCTCCAAAAGTGGCTTAAAATAATCCCTATCACTAACGATAGTTTTAGGTATGCCATGTAATTTAACCCCTTCCTTCACAAATAAATCAGCCACATGTAATGTATCATTAGTCTTCAAGCATGGAATAAAACAAGCCATTTTTGAAAATCTATCTACCACCACAAATATACTATCCTTACCATACTTAGTTCTAGGAAGTCCTAACACAAAATTCATAGAAATATCAATCCAAGGAGAAGTAGGGACAGGTAAAGGAGTATAAAGACCATGTGGTAACACTTTTGATTTGGCTTGTTACATTCAAGGCATTAAGAGCACACTTTTTCAACATCCTTTCGCATGTCAGGCCAAAAAAAATGTTCAGCAAGTATATCCAAAGTTTTGGGCACTCCAAAGTGTCCCATGAGTCCACCACAATGTGCTTCCCTAACAAACAATTCACGCAAAGAGCAATTAGGAATACACAATTTATTTTCCTTAAAAGGAACCCATCTTGAAGATTGAACCTCTCATAAGGACCCAACTTACATTCTGTAAAAACCTTGCCAAAATCAGAATCATTAGAATAAAGTTCCTTGATTTGATCAAAACCCATCAATTTAGAAGTAAGAGAAGAAACCAAGACATACCTTCTTGAAAGTGCATAAGCAACCACATTCTCTTTTCCTTGCTTGTAAGCAATCACATATGGGAAAGTTTCAATGAATTCAACCCATTTTGCATGGCGACGATTAAGCTTACGTTGACTTTTCAAATATCTTCAGGATTCATGATCAATCTTAACCACAAACTCTCTTGGCCACAAATAATGTTGCCATGTAGCTAAAGCCCTTACCAAAGCATATAGCTCTTTGTCATAAGTTGAGTAGTTCAGTGTAGCTCCACTCAACTTTTCACTAAAGTATGCAATGGGCTTCAAGTCCTGCATCAAAACAACACATATTCCTTTTCTAGAGGCATCACATTCAACCTCAAAAGATTTAGAAAAATCGGGTAATTACAAAAGAGGAGCAGAACACAATTTTTCTTTTAACAAGTTAAAAGCATCATCTTGTTCTTTTCCCCATGAAAAAACCTTATCCTTCTTAACAACTTTAGTTAAAGGAGCAGCAATGGTGCTAAAATCTCTAATGAATCTCCTATAAAAACAAGCAAGCCCATGAAAACTCCTAACTTCAGTTACACTGTTAGGTTTAGGCCACTCTTTGATTGCCTTGATTTTATCTTCATCAACTTCAACTCCCTTAGAACTAATCACAAAACCCAAGAATACCACATGATCCACACAAAAAGTACACTTCTTAAGATTAGCAAACAAGCATTGCTTTCTAAGAACTTCAAAAACTTGTTGTAAGTGTTCCACATGCTCATCTAGATTTTTAGAATAAATCAAGATATCATCGAAATAAACCACCACAATTTTCCCATGAAAATTCTTAAAAACATGATTCATCAATCTCATGAAAGTGCTGGGTGCATTAGTCAAGCCAAAAGGCATAACAAACCACTCATAAAGCCCATATTTGGTCTTAAAAGCAGTTTTCCATTTATCTCCAGGATTCATTCGAATCTGATGGTAACCACTTTTTAGATCAATTTTAGAAAAGATTTTGGATCCATGCAATTGATCCAACATGTCATCAAGACGAGGAATAGGATGGCGATACTTTACCGTTATGTTGTTGATTGCTCTACAATCCATGCATATACTCCAATTTCCATCCTTTTTAGGTACCAATAGGACGGGAACTGAGCAAGGGCTCATGCTCTCTCTCACAAAACCTTTCTCGCAACTCCTCAACTTGCCTTTGAAGCTCTTTTGTCTCTTCTGGATTAATCCTATAAGCAGGCCTATTTGGAATTTGTGCTCCAGGCACAAAGTCAATTTGGTGCTCAATGTCACGCAAAGTTGGTAGACCTTTAGGGATACTCTCGGGGAAGATATCATCAAAATCCTGCAAAAGAGAAGAAACACTATTTGGCAAATAAGAAGTTAGTAACTCAGAGTTAATCAAAACTCTTTGTAAGTAAGTAGTATAATTGGCAGCCCCTCTTTTCTTGCGTTCAAACACTCTTTGGCTTTTATGTACAAACTCTCCTTTTTCTCTTCCTTTGCTGTAACAACCCGACCGGTCGTTTTGAGCTCTAGCGCGTCGTTCAGCAGTTTGAGGCCATGAGCAGCTTAACTTCAGGTATTATG